AGGACCATTTTAACACTTTGTTGAAGCTCTCCCTGCCCTCCAAAGATGTGCCCCAAGCCCCCTGTTCTCCCTCACTCACTGATCCCGAGCGGCTCTTCTGACTCAGTGCATGCAGGGTGATTACATTTTATACTTCACTTACTGGGGGAGGGAAACTGTTCAGTGGGAAGGTGTGATTTTCACACTGGTTCACATAATGCCAGATGAAACATTCCAGACATTCTGACTTCTTTCAGCTATAAGGAGGATCTACCAGTCAAGAGGTTAATGGAAGCCTGCTTTCTCCTAAGCTGACTTTTAGTTTTATGAGTAAATACTTTAATTGACCCTAGGAAATTAAAGGCTTAATTCAGTGATAAGTATTCTGAACTTTGGAAGGAGCCATAGTGATTATCGTCTTTGACGTCACCATCATCACTCACAACCCTGCCTTTGTCCCCTGCAGGTTCTCTGACGTCAGGTTGCTGCTTTACACTTGCCAACACCCTCCCACTCCTTGCCAAGGACTAAGCATCCTATATGTGAATCCCTGGCTTGATTTACAATTGGATCGTCAGCATCACATTTGAGTCTTTATTATGGCCCATCATAAAAATGGGCCATAAAGATATGTACATAAAGATATGTAAACACTTTCTTATTTAATGCTTATAATAACTCCATGTGTAAGCTAGTATTGGCTCTATTTTGCATATGAAGAAGTTGGGGTTTAGAGAGTGTGTGATTTGTCTAAAGACACAAGGCCAGTAAGTGACAGCCACGATTCAAGCTAAGTCTGCTTAAGCCAAAGCCCATGCTGTCTCCTTTATACTTTGCCCTCCCTGTGAAAGTCGCATTTTCATGATGAGATTTCTACTGTGTTATCCCCATACGGTTGCCAAAACATTTAACTTCTTTTAAGTATAATTCCAACATAATTATTGCTGCTGAATTTCTGAACTTAAAGGTTGAATTCCATCTGTCTGTCTATTATTCTCTGTAATTTTCAGGTGAAACACTGAATCCACATTTAATATCTACTACATCTTTTTACTTAATGTGAGCGGGGAGCAATTTTCATTGTCTTAAAGAAAAGCAATCTATTTTTAGGTTAATATCTCTGCCCTGCGCTTCCACAGCTCTCCATGCATACTTTGATATCACTCCCCAAACTTGTTATTGCAAAGATTATATTTGTCCACCTGTCCAAGAGATGGTGAGCTTCTTCAGGACATGAGTAAAGTTTATTCAATTCTCTTTCCTCAGGGATTTAGTATAGTATGTGACACAAGATAGGCCTCAATAAATGATAAATAAATTCAGGCAAGGAAAGAATTATTTCAAATATGTAACCATGATCCTTTCCTGGGTTTTAATTCCCCAACGTATTGTTAGAGGATTTTTAGAAACATTTAATTTTTTAATTAAAAAATCCCTTTTAAATAGATTCATTAATTAGTAAAATGAATCCTTAATACATTTCATCTTTTTGTTTGAAATATATTTTTAAAAGTATTAAGAAGGTGTGAAATGAAATAAATATAATGATACTTCTAAGACTGATCCAGAGGAAATTATGTCTCCAGTGAGATGATCAAGAAAACATTTAATCTCATTCATAATTATTTTTAGTTAATTCCAAATATCTTCGATTGAGTTTAATCGCTTTCTAAAATGTTCACACGTTTTTGGTGTAGCCATAGCTTGGAATTTAACAGTTCTTAATACAGGAGCAAACATCTAGAAAGGAAATGTCCTGGAGATTGTCTTTTATACTGAATTAACTTCACTGTTGTTGTTGAAGTTTTATTTCTGTTGTTATTCCAAATAAGTGACAAAAAACGCAAGTTTGAAAACATCTTTGGGCCATTGTTTTTAAGCACTGACATTTTTGCTGGGGAAATGACTGGGATACACAGTGAGGTGAAAGGCTGCTTCTTTACAGAAGCCTCCGCCCCAGGATGTAAAGGTCCTTGAGAAACATCAAGAAACAATCTTCAGGGGGAAATGACCTTACCATATGTTTTTGATTGGGAAGGAATTTATTTATCCATTTATTCTAGGAGGCTCATTTGCATTCCTACTGTGTACCAGTCAATGACCTGGCTCTTGAGGATTCGACAGTGGTCCAAAAGACATTGCCAATGGCTTCATGTATCTTATAATCTCGTAGGCAGTTATAATATAATGTGATAAGTGCTAAAACAGAGGGAAGTTTTGCCTATGAGAGCACCTGATCTGGACTTGGGGCCCCAAGGGCTTGCTGGTCCCAGTGACAGCTAAGTCAAAATTGGAAGATAAAGAGAGGCAGGGCAAGTGTTCCTGCAGAGATTGAAAATGTGTGACAATCTGGGGGCATGAGATAGTGGGGCACACCAGAAGTAGTTTGGTGTGCAAGTTCCACCTGCAGACCTCATAAAGAAGTGGAGATAGCTCTTTCTCTAGGAAGTTTGTGGAAACCGTTACAAAAGCCATCTTCTGTGGGGTGCTTGGCACTCGTTCTGCTCTGTCAGAAGGAAAGATGCAGCTGCCAAAGGAGATGCAGCGTGTTGAGTTTGAAAACATCAGCTCCGTGGAGCTAAAAAGTCAGTGAAGAAGCAGGCAGCCATTTCTGCAGAGTATATTGAAGGCAAGAAAAAGAGGTTGTAAAAATCAACTGATTAAAACCCAGTGTTTAGAGCGAGAACTGCCCACAGAGATGGTTGAGAAGAAGAGTGGCTTGGGAACAGGAGGATCTAAGCTGGACAGGTCTCTGTTCCTGGACCCTAGGGCGAAGAGTGATCTTTTTCATGAGGATCAGCTTCAAACTTTAAAATCAAGCCCTATTATATATATTTTACTCTTCATGGTATTTAATTATGTGGAATAAACAGCATGTAGTTCTCACAAGAGAGTTTTAACTCTGTCCTGAACACATCATTTTGTGATCTTTATAAAACATCTAGATAAAGACCCCATTCAGGGATATTTTTTTCCTTTAAAATTTTTTTTACAAGTATGCACTGGATAGATTTCTAATTGTTAGATAAGAGTACGGTTCCTTGAGTGGACGCAAGCTCAACTTTGCACATATGAGCTGCCTGTGAGAAACCAGAGGGTCACCAGATTCTCTAGGCTGCTGAGGAACCTTGTTTTACTGACTATCACTATTACTAGTACTATGATTTTTACAACAAGTTCTAAAACAATCAGCCAATGCTTGTATACTATCTTTTAAAGTATGGTGTTAGATTTATAGAAAAGTTGCAAAGATAAAACAGAGAGCTTCCAAATACCCTACGCCAAAGCCCCCCATTACTAACAGCTTACGTTAGTATGATGTATTATTAGTATGTATTATTAGTAATGATGTAACATTAGTGTGATACATTAGTATGATGCATTTGCTTGTTGCAATTAATGAACCAATAGTGACAATTCTTACACAGAATTAGCCAACTCCACACTTTCTTCAGATTTTATTAGTTTTCCCCTCGTGTGCCTTTTCTGTTCCGAGATCCCATCCGGATTATGTTTAGTCATTACATCTCCTTAGGTTTCTCTGGGCTGTCAGAGTTTATCTAACTTTATTTTTGATGGTCTTGGTAGTTTTGAGGGGTGCTGGTTAGCCATTTTATAGAATATCCCTCAACTCAATTTGAGTTGGGATGACGTTATTTTTAATATTAGAATGAAGTTATGGATTTGGGGGGAGGAACGCTACCGAGGTGAACTGCCATTCTTAACACAACACATCAAGGGTGCGGGCTATCAACCTGACTTATGACTAATGAGGCTAACCTTGTATATTGCCTTATTGAGGTATACTTTACATATAATTAA